GACCAAATTTCATTATATAACTGTATTTTTTTGACGAAGAGAACTTTTGCACTTCGTAAAAAAACTCTATGAAATCATATCTTTTATACAAAATTCAAGAGGGTAGAAAAGAGGTTAGAAAACGGGGTAGATATACCCTTCTACCCTAAAATATATTTTTGCCTGATTTACGCTCATTGACGAAGAAGTCTTGACAAAACATTTTGACAACATCGTAGAAAACACGCAAAACTCTTGAATTTTGTATAAAAAAAGCAACCGTCGGAATTCCGGCGGTTGGTATATTCTTCACAAAATGCTTGTTTTGAGGTCGAGCCATTTTTGGCTCCACCTGTTTTTTTCCACCTAAAATATATTTTTGTCTGATTTACGCTCATTGACGATGAAATACAACAACAAAACATATACGATGAAGTCTATTTCCTGTGTTGTTGTCAAAATGTCATGTTGTCACCATTTTCAAAAAGATGTTAGTTGACCTGGTTCCACCTAAAATATATTTTTGCTGAAAAAAACTCATGAAAATCGTAAAAAAATGACGTTTACCATGTAAAACGCTTATGAAAATCGTGAAAAATTGCGAGCAGGTAAAAAACCCTGGTCGCCAAAACACATGAAAATCGTAAAAAAATGACCAAATTTCATGATATAACTGTATCTTTTATACAAAATAAAATTAACGTTAGTTTTTTTAAAATATTTTTTTTTATTTTGTATGTAAGAACAGGAAATGACAAACACTGAGTTTGAAACAGTTAAAAAGATAGACAATGAGACCAAGGTGGTTAGAATAGGTGATTTAAACGTAAGATACTCAAAGAAATACAAAAAATATTCTTTGTCAGACATTCTAACACTATCTGAAAAGAAAACATCCCACGACTGGGTTAGAATTGCTTCAACTCAGAAAATTTTGACAAGAAATCCTGAGCTTATGATATCGGTAAGATTCTATGGAACAAGAACATATCTTATAGACAAAAGTCTTATACCAGTAGTTTTGTTCTGGATTGACCCAGTTGTTGGATATAATTTCATAACATATGGTTCATTCGATACTGAACGTTGCAGTGAAGGCTTACTTTACATCGTTTCAGAAACCAAAGGACTTCAATACAAAGAGATATAGATAGGAAGAACATTTAATATAACTAAAAGATATGACAGTACAGTCAATAGAGTTAAGGTTGTGTTTGTAAATGATATGAGAGCTGCTGAAACAGAACTGCTTGAAAAGTTTGAGAAAATGTATGGTGCTCCCACGAAAGGTAAAGAAACGTTTGAAGTAGATGAGATCGACAAAGCTATAAAATTATTTGACGAAGTTGCTGAAAAATACATGTAAAGCGTTTATTTTTGGTCTTTTATACAAGATAGAAAATAACGCTAATTTTATTTTTTTTTTATTTTTTTATCCGGAATATAAAGACAGATATGTCAACAACAGAGAACACAACAACAGTTATAGTCCATGAAGCTATAAATGAAGAATATGAGTGGGTTCAGTTTAACAAACAGTTACGTCTCATTCGTTCGGTCAAAGACGATATGTACCAAATGCAAAGTATTTTGAATGCTCTTCGTTCTACAAAGCAAGCATACCATTGGTTTGAAAACCAACAGACAAAAGAACTTTTAGAAGAATTTCCTCATATGTTTGCGACCCTCGGAAAACCGAGGGTCGAGATTCCGTACGAAAATCGTCAAAATTTGCCAAATGGTTTGAGAGGTTGGTATGTACATAGACTTCTTAAATGCTGTTGCAATGTGGGCTTCACCTCGTTACGCTTGTTATATTTTCATGATGTTAGATGAAATTCATAGACAAGAACGTGAAGAGATGGAAAAGAAACTTCAAGCAAAAGATGAAGTCATTGAAGCAAAAGACAAAAACATTCAGAAAAGAATACCACGTTCGGTACCAAAAAAGGAAGGAAAAGAACTATAAGTATATGATTTACACTGAAGAAGATGGAAAATGAAGAAGACAGAGATATGGTTATGTTGCATTTAGTCAGAAGAAACAACAAAAGCTTTTACGACCTTGCTAAGATTTACAAATCTGACAGAAATTGGTTCTATCGCGAAAACTTACCGATTTCAATGACCCCAAATGAAGATGTGAAACAAATAGTTCAAGATACGTTACCTCAAACACACTATGATATGAAAGGTTGTACAATTCTTACCTTCAAAGAAGATTTACCGCTACTGAAAGAAAAAATAACAGAGTATTTTGACAACTTCAAACAAGTAGAGTAAATGCACTCTTTATTTTTCAAGCTTGACACCAAAGATGGCTCAGGTAGCTCTATAAGGTAGATTGCCTCATCTGTTGGGTCTATGTCGGTCATTGTTTCAAGACAAGTCTTTTACTTTTTCAAGACAAGTCTTTTACTTTTTCAAGACAAGTCTTTTACTTTTTCAAGACAAGTCTTTTACTTTTTCAAGACAAGTCTTTTACTTTTTCAAGACAAGACCCGTTATTTTTCAAGAAATTTTTTGGTGTAAAGTTCTCAAATTTGAGAACAGTGGTCTTGATTTCAGACGATACCCGTACTTTTTCAAGACAAGTCTTTTACTTTTTCAAGACAAGTCTTTTACTTTTTCAAGACAAGTCTTTTACTTTTTCAAGACAAGTCTTTTACTTTTTCAAGACAAGTCTTTTATTGTTTCAAGACAAGTCTTTTACTTTTTCAAGACAAGTCTTTTACTTTTTCAAGACAAGTCTTTTACTTTTTCAAGACAAGTCTTTTATTGTTTCAAGACAATGTCCGACGTACCACCAACCGAGTCCATTCCAAAGCCAGAAGAACCGACAGCCCCAGCACCACAACAGACTAAGACTCAAACACTTACATTTTTACGCTTGACTTTTTACAATTTGAACTTTGTTCGCGTAGATGTGAATTCTGAAAGAAGTATGAGGGTCTTGTATGACTTTGTACTTCTCCCATAGTTCATGTCTGTCAAACTTACCTGCCATGGACTCTTTCATAAGTTCCATGAAATCGTCTTCGGACAATCCAGGGAAAAGTATGATATCAGTAAGTATTCTCTTTACATCCTTACTTAAACTCTTTGCTGTCTGTACACAAATGACAACTGAGATGTTAAAGTGTCTGAGCTTCTTAAGAATTCGACACATGTCTTGTTCTCTATTCTTTAACAAAGGATGAGAAGCAAAGTCATCTAAGATAAGAAGACATCTATGAGGGTAAGTCTTCCAATCGTAAGAGATTGCAATTTCTTCGAAATGTATTCTATCTCTTTCTGTTTGTTTCTGAAGTGTTTCTTCTCTAATATTCTCTGCATTTCCTCATTTGGGTCTTTAAACTTAGAATTTATATACTCATTTATAGCATTGTACTTCAAAACTCTTCTTTGGTACTTCTTTATCCAATCTAACAACTCAGTATCTTTTATACATACTAACTTAGACTTCTTTATAATATCTTTGAACGAATTGACGGTTTGATCGAATTGACCCGAAGTACTACAAATGACAACTAACTCATAGAATGGGTTCTTCTCATCTAGTTCTTGTTGTTGTGCAGCCATTTTAAGATAAGTGAAAGTCTTACCCGACCCAGGTGGTGCAATTAGACCTGTTTATACCATTCTGAGCAAATAAGAACTTGTCATGTATGGGTTTTATCTGAGCATTTTCCAACTTCCTCTTGTTCTTCTTCAAAACATTCTCAAATTTCTTGTCAATGTCAGCAAACTTTTTTCTAACATATTTTTAGAAAAATTAAAATTTTTATCTTTTAGAAAATGTCTAGCGATTTCGCTATCTATATTCGAGACAAGCTTTTCGACTCTAAAACTTCTGTCGACCATAAAATCTTACATAGTGTAAACAAGAAAGGTGAATTTGTTCTAAAGTTCTGTTTCTGGGAATATGACAAGAACCATAAAACATTAGGCAGAGAAGTCTTAAAATTTGTCAATGACAGACTTGTTGACAGAGATGACACCGATTGGAAAGATGAAGTCCAACAAAAGTTCTTAGAATGCAAAGAAGACACATGCGCTGTTCTTGAAGATGAAATAGGAAACAGAATAGAAGAGCTATTAAAGGACAAAGACCTTTTACAAAAATATGGTTCTGAGAAGTTTGACATAACTCCACCAGAAAAGAAGAAGAAGAGAGAAAAGAAAGAAAAGAAAGAAAAGAAAGTAGAAGAAGAGAAGAAAGAACCTGAACCAGTTCCAGAGAAGGTGAGATATGACATGTAAAAATAAAATTTTATTTTTAGAACATTTCTGGGTCAATGTCAATGTTCTCTTCCTCTTTAGGGGCAAACACTGGCTTAGACTCTAAAATCTTTTTACCCAATTTACCTTGAACTTCAACTATCTTAGACTCATAATATTCATAGTCGTCTGCTTTCTTTGGTTCATAAGGTATAACAAGTTTGTATGCTTTACCTTCTTTAAGGTTTGAAAACCTTCTGTCAAAATTTTCTTTGACTGCTAACAAACCTTCTATGTCTAAGTCTTCAAATTTCGCACCATTTTTAGTCACAATAGCAAACTTAACTGGTTCGATGTTCCAAACTTTGTCAAATGTAGACTTTTCAAAATGGTAGAAGTAAACATTCAAATAAGCGAATGGGTCTAGTTCTTCTTTAACTCCTGACATATACTTGTTGACTGAGATGAATTTCATCATCTTTTCTATCGGATAAAAAAAATATTTTTTTTAAATTTACTCATAAAAATTTTTCTTTGTATATACGCCGTTCTGTATGTCTAAAAGATTTTTGACATTTGCCAAGAATGTTCGTTTAGACGCTGTCATATAACCATACTCTTGACAATACTGTTTATATTCATCGTACAATGACCTTTCATCTAAACACTCAAAGTTAGTCTCATCTATAAACAGTTCATATACACTCTTGTTTGCTTCTAACAATGTTTGTCTTTCTTCGGTATATGGAATTTGTCTTGGATTGAACTTAGAAATATCTAATGTCATGAAATATGAGAACAAGTGGTTGTAAAAGTTAGGTGTCAAAGTTTCTGCTAAGTCGTCAAAATATTCTGTATCTTGCATATGAGAATCTGACGTTCTGACAACTACATATCTTCTGTCAGAACTTTCTAACTTCATCGGAACGGCATTGTTTGAAACCATGATGAAATTTGCAACATTTTCACAAACTCTTTGGTCTTTATATTTTCTTTCAACAACTCCAACTTTGTCTGTTATAAGACTCTTCAAAGCATCTGAGTTTAAAACCTTTGTTGTATCTATACTTTGAAGTTCGTTACATACTATAAGTTTCATATTCTCTATTGAAGAGTTAAATTTACCGCAGATGTTTTCTAAGTTTGTCATATTCGGGTTCGAATAGCCCTCTAACAGTTTGCATAAGATATCTGTAAAGAAAGTGTTCTTACCTGTTCCTTGTTTTCCAATTATAATGAGAGCAGTTTCATTTTTAGCACTTGGATATTGTAAGATGTTTGCAAACCAACATAAGATATACTCATAGACTCTTTCGTTTCCATTGCATATAATTTCTTTGACATGGTCTAACCAAGCTTCTATAACATTTTCTTTCCATTCTACTTGTTCGTATTTATATCCAGTGAAGATAGAATAGAAGTTTGGAGATGGTGTATAGAACTTTATACCACGAACTGAAAAATCTTCTAACTTTGACAATAAGATATCCCAAGCATCTAACATCTTCATACCAACTTGTACGACTTTTATTTTCTTAAGTTTCTGTCTACATTCTTGTTCTGAAACTATTGTCGCTCTTGGTTTGTTAAAGACAACATCCCATTCTTTCATAACATAACATTCTGGGGCAGAGTCGACATAAATGACTAAACGTTTCAAATTCTCGACTGCTTTGTTATAGTCTCTAAATGGACACATATTTCTGAACGCTTGGAAGTCATAAAAATCTGAAACGTCTATTCTGTACATTTTTATAAAAATAAAAAAAATATTTTTTTAAAAAACGTTTTAAAATGGTATGCCATATAGCTTCTTGAATTTGTTAAGAAGTATATGAACGTGTTTTCCATCTGTATCTCTAGTGTTTACATAAGCATAGTCATCCTTAGTAAAATATACTTGTAATTTTCTATAGTTTACACCGGTATAAAAGTAGAAAGAGTCTTGTTCTTCGCTATAGTAGTAAAACTCAAGCGTATGCTTGCCATAGTCTGTAATTTCAATTGCTTCATCTTCTAGTTCGTCGACAAATTCGAATACAATATCTCCAAATTTGCCTCTGTTCTTATTGTTTTCAGAAAGAGTGACCCAACGTAAATTTTCAAGTCTATTGTCGTTTCTTATACGGTTTATGTGGTCTACAAGAGGTAAATTGTTAGGATTCGGTATAAAATGAGTTGCAATGACAATATGTTTAAAATAGTTTTTTCCACCCATCCTCATCATAGCATATCCGTCATTTCGCTCCCATCCGCTTAAAACTCTTTTTGTCTTTTTGTTTCTGACTTCAAATGACTCACAACAGTGAATTTCATATTTCTCATCTAACAAACAAGTTTCCCAACGGTCTTCTCCAACAAACTCAGCGTACATTTCAAATAAAATAAAAAAAAATATATTTTTTATTCTTGAGCTATTTTTTATTCTTGACTTTGTTGTTGCATTTGTTCCATTTGTTGCATTTGTTGTTGAAGTTGTTCTTGTAATACAATACTTTCACCAGTTGCATCTTCCAATTCGAAACTTTCTGCCGTCATTGACAAATACATAGGACATAAAAGTTTTACAGGAACAAAGTTTGCGTCGACTAAGGTTAAGTTTATGTTTGCTAAAGTGTTTGAGTTTACTAAAGCTGAAAACTCTGCATTCGAATGAACAATAGGCAAACCAGCAGAGAAAGTGTTGTTTATACGCATGAGTATCTTTTGGTCATAGTAGTTTCTGTCGACATTCGAATAGCACTTTGAACCTAAGTTTGAAACAATATATAAAATAGGTGTACTTAAAGTCAATGGAACAGACAAACCTTGTATGACACCTTTTCCTGTTATAGGAAACTGTTGGTAGTAAAAACCAGATATAAGTTTTGTATTATAGCTCATATCGTTTATACTAAACTCGGTCGGACATCCAAACATAATGAAACCTGCTCTAGTTGCAGCACATGTTACACTCGTCCTTAAAGTATTAAATAAGTCAACAAAACCTGTTGGTGGTATATCTGAGTAAGTATCTTCAAAGGAGTATTTTTTACCATTCACAACAATAAATCTTCTGGTGTCAAAAGAGCAAAACAGGCTTTAGTCGTCATTGTGTTTAAGGTTAGTTTACAATATCGTCCTTGAGGACTTTGTAAGTTTGTTGTTATAGAATTATATGACTCAGGGTTTTTAGTCGTAATAGTATAAACATTGTGTCTTCTGCCATTTACTTAGCAAATAAATTTTAATGAAATGTTGTGGTCGTCAAATATTTTTATAACGTCTGGGAAACTATATTTTAAGTTCAACGTTTCACCTCCTTTCATAACGTATATCTTGTCAATGACATTATATGAAACACCACAGCAACTAACGTCGGGTTCTATTTCTTTGATGTTTATATCGTCTGCCTCTGTCAAAAGTTTCAATAGTTCTTTCAAAACTTCATGAGGTGCGATGACATATGAGTTCACTTTACAGGGTTGTGCTCAACCAAGTTTAACATTATACCCAAAGCCTGACAAATCTTCTCCTGAGTTTTAAGTTTGTCTTTAAGTTGTTGTAGTCGTTTCGAATATCTGCAACAGAACTTAAGTCTCTGCTAACTTCAGGATATGTTGGTTGTTCTTTTACAGGAACTATTGTTATACCATCTTCGTCTTCGTATGGTTTCCCCACTTCAACATCTCTTTCTTTGACATTGACAACAACACTTTGACTGTTTGTTTGAGTTGGTGAATTTAACTTCACATCTGCCACCGCCATTAAACCTTTTGAAACACTTACGCTTCTATTTTTCGGAAATGACATTTTACTTAGAATAAAAAGATGGACGTATTTGAGTATCTCTTCGAATTGAAGCAAAACAAAGTTTACACACACAAACAATACAAGTTCATTGACAGAGTAGTTCTTTATACAAACAATGGAAAATGTTATAGAATAGCAGTCTTTGCTGAACCAAAATATTTTCATAAAGCAAAGAAAGTTGGTATAACTGAAATGGTGAAAGTTCTTGAAGCAGACAAAAATATAACAACAAAACTGACCGATATTTCTAAAGGTAAGTTTTATAAACAATATTATATCAAAACTGGCGTACTGTCAATATTTGCCGGAGAGAAGTCAGTTCAAGAACAACTTACTGACCTGCTGCCAAAATCTGCTCGATGGAAGCTGTCGTTATACCAATCTGAGGAGCCCCAGCAGGTTTCATCGAACGAATCTTCAAAAGAGCATCTTCCGTGAAAAGTGCTATTGGTTTTGTAAACTTCTTTGCTTTCAGTTCATCTGGACCGTCTCTGTCACCAGTATATTGTATTTGTACAGTACCAACAGTTGAAATACCACCCATAAAGTCTTCTGAGTCAGCAAATGGAATGCCAAGCCAAAAGTTTGAACGGTCTCCATTTGTATATTGAGTTTTTGACCTCCTGTATGAGTCCATACTTTCACATATGGCATAATAGAACTTTGCATTTCAGGGTTTATGGTTGTTGTGAAGTTGTTGTTAAAGTTCATAGCATCTAATGTCAAGTTGTATGACCTCATATCCTCAACTGTAGAATATTCTTCTCTTGGATAATATTTGCCATCTATGTTTATATGATATTTAATACCAGGGTTGTAGAAACAAGAATAGTCATTTATAGTTCGTCTGAACAGTACAAACATAGTATCTGCATGTTTCATTGCAGTTGTTAAAGCAATATCTGTTCTTGCACCTGGGTCAGCACTTTGGTTTCCAACTTCACCTGCAAAGTCTTTGACAGATATTTGGTGTATAGGGAACATAAGTGGAACTGCAATATATTTGGCAGCTAAAGCATTTGAAATATCTGGGTCCAACATATAGACTGCAAGTCTGCTTTCTATTCTCTTGCATTCAAACTTTTCGCATGTGAACTTAACTGGGTCCCAAGCATCTCCAGCAGCATTGAAATAATAGTTTACTTCAGTGTTGAGGTTTGAGAAACCAAAGTCTAAGTCAACTTTGTCTTTGCAAAATTCGGCGAATGACGTTTGATTTGCTCCCTTTACGTCTGTAAGAGTGAATGGGTCTTGCGTTGGTGCAATGACTAAGTTATTTTTGCTTGGAGTAAGTTCGATAGAAATTTTTCCTGCCCAGTTTGGCAAGTATCTTAAAAACCTGAAGATGAGGAAAGATGACAAAGGAACTCTAAGTTTCAGTTTTACTTTGGTTACTGCTGCTGCAGTTTGTCCAGAAAGGTTAACATAAACTCCTGGAACGTTAGGGTCAAGTCTTCTTATTTTCTCAATAGTTGCATACTGGTCTGTTTGTTCTCTAGCTTGTGGTTGTACTGAGTTTCTCAAAGCGAACCATTCATAGTTTGCCCATGTTACTGTTTGAACTAAGTCAGAGTTAGAATATATCTTATATCCCATGAAAACTTCTGGAGCATATTGGTATCCGACATAGAAAATTCCATTGCAACCTTTCTTGTCAGACAACTTGGCAGAAGGTTTTATTTCAATGTCTTGTTCCACGTATAAGAATGAGTTGTCAATAGAAATTATATGAAACCTGTCGCATGCAATATCTACTGTTGTTGAAGAACCTTCTCCAAACTCACCTACGTTTCCATAAGAAACAGCAGTTGTATATTCGTAAGTTCCAGGAACTATTTCTGACCTTCTAATGGCATTGTCGCATTCGTTATACCATTCGGAAACATTTCCATTCATAGCATCCAAAACTGTTGGCGTTATATTCTGAGCGGCGTACATTTCATATGAGTAAAAATATAGAATAGTTGGATTTATATGTCATAATAGAACCCACGTGGACCAAGCTTTACTTTCTTCCTGACTGAGTTTTTAACTCTTCTTTTTCCTTCATTGCCCTCTGCTTCAAGTTGTTGCATCTTTGCATTATGTTCATCTAGTATGTTGCAAATTTCCCATGTCCTTTTTGCCTTTGGGCTCTGGTCGCCCAACTCAGGTAACCTATATCCTAGAAAGATTTTGTCATAGTTTGTATTTGAGTCTTCGCGTATTGTTTGCATGACTCTTTCCTGAGTTTCCGGTTCAAGCTCTTCAAACAGTGCCTGTCCATATGGAATAAGCTCGTTTCCAAATATATGTTTTTGTAGCCATTCTGGTTTTCTTTCCATGTTACCAATAATATCTTTTGTGAATGGGAAAGCTTCTACCCAATCTTTCAGTCTTGCGTCGTTTATTTCTGTAGTTGGTTTTATTTTGTCAAGGAACATGTTTTTCAATACTAACATTTCATTTGGTACTGTCCATTTGAGTTTTCTTAAATATTCATCCCTTCTCGATTCATCGCCTGCAAAGTAAGTTTTTATGACATTTTGTAAACTTTCGTTTGCAAGGTCATGTACAATAGGTTCTCTTCCTTCTCTCCCTAACTCTCTTTCTAAACTCTTCACCAAATATACCATCTCTATGGTTCTGTGTAGTTCTTTGAGATAAATGTTCTAGAACGTCAGGTGTTATATTTCCATCAGCCATGTTCATTTCATACTGGTCCAAAATATCTGCATGTTTCATATCTTTCAATGGCATTAAAGCCGCGCTTAAAATACCAGCTATATCTCGTTCACCATTGACTTCCATTGCGTCTACAACTTCTTGGAATTGTGGTTGTAAGTTTATGAACCACCTATCCGGGTTAGCTTTATGACCCATCTCATTGTAGTTCCATCGTCTGCAGAAACAAAAGTAGGTTTGTTTCCATCTTGGTTAGGTTCTGAATGAACTTTAAACAATGTTTCATTTCTATAT